GAAGAGGTACAGCGATGAGCGATGCGGTGGTGAACGTGGAGAAAGAGGTGGACAAAGTGGTCAATAAGTTTCACGAACTCCGGAAGCATAACGAACAGACGCTCGAAGAGCTGATCCAACAGATCAAGGGATACCACAGAGATCTGCAGACGTTGAGCGGTACGTATTGTCCGGCAGTTTGTTTGTGTGTTGATGTGATATCATATTACCGCTGATGACTACCGACTGGTTTGACATAACACTGGTTGTCCGCCACTCGACTGGTCCCTAGTATTGATATAAGCGGTCGATTGCATGTCTGATATCTTCAGCGCAATCATCGGTTTAATTATACAATAGATTGATATGTTTTGCTTTTTTGTTTCTATTCATTTTACCATTGATTTGATGGCACGATATGTATGACCACCGCTTCCGCCGCCGCCGTTGACACGACAACCCACAGCTCCGGGCAATGAGTTGACAGAAATCCAATGCGACCTAATGTACGACAATGTGATCAAAAAAGTGCGAAACACAATCACACAGTTCTCGGGAGAGCACAGAGACATACACTCGTCGGTGTCCCGCATCGGCAAAGCCATCGACAAGAACTTTATCTCCGATTACGCCTCAGTCAACAACGACACGGTCTTCGAGTCGGCCGCCAACACACAGATACTGAATCAAGTGATTGTCGAACACTTCCTCCGCCAGGGAATGCTGGAGATTGCGGAACAGCTGACCCGCGAGGCGCGGCTCGACATTCCCGACCATAAGAAGAAGCCGTTCACCGAATTGAATACGATTCTCGACTCGTTGAAGGCCAGGGATCTGCAGCCGGCCCTCCAGTGGGCGATCGCCAATCGGGATCAGCTTCGCGCGCAGAACTCCGGTTCGGCGCTCGAGTTTAAACTCCATAGACTTCAGTTCATTGAGCTCTTGAGGGGTGGCGTTCAGAATCAGATGAAACTCATCGCTTACGCGCGACAGTACTTCCAGCCGTTGGCCGACAAACACGAGCGGGAGATACAGGCGATGATGGGTTCGCTACTCTACCTGAAGTCTGGGCTCCAGAACTCGCCCTACAATTACTTGTTGGACAGTATCGGGTGGTCAGAGATATGCGATATCTTTACGCGCGACGCGTGCGCTCTGNGGCTAATGTTAAGTTTATGTCATAGTATTATTATTAAATGCCATATAGTGTTGAGGTGAAAGGTCGAACGCGATATAATTCAGACAGAATTCTTGATAATTGAATATTGGTTAAAAATCACGATATAAAGTATATAACGCAACAAAAATCAATTGATTAAATACATAACAATTAGCCTTATATTAAACCTCGATATAACGAAGTTATTTATTAGCCACGAATGGCTTTCATTCATAGTTTACAGAAATGATAGACATATTTATGTAAAGTAGACGTGAGTACAGTATATGAGTCCAGTAACTCATTCAACTCATGCAACCAATAGAGCAATCAATCAAAGTAGCAGCGATTTATGTAATATTGGATTAAATGATAAATAGGTGCCTTGAGCGCCTTCTAGTGGAGCTAAAATTACAAAAATGGTATCATTATTTTAGGTAACATTCTTAGGCACCAGAAACCAAGTTTCATAGAATTCGCAGCAATAGTTAAGACACAGGAATATTTCATATGACACCCGCCAATATAATGTATTCCTATGGGAGAGATGTTATTTCGGTAAAAATTATGGTTGAATTTTGATAAAAATCGACCATGCTCAAACAATAATAAATATAATACAAAACCCTTACTCTTCTGAAATCTTCAATTATTAATGTATCTAATCATATGCTATTCATTGGCCAACATTGACCGGTACCCCAACTGTGGCCATATCATTATCGGTAGTCAACCCGATTGGCGGCCTATATTTGATCGGTTCCCATTTGAATCTCATTATGGTTAAAATTATGATATCTTCTTTAAACTATTGTCGGATAACTATTAATGAATCCCAATAACCAAATAGTCACTTCAAATATGTATTTTGTAAAAATATTTTTACTTTAAACATATGATAATTTTTGACCAAATATTTTGGTGCAAATTTGTCAGAATAATTCCAACTGACACTTTTTGAAAATTTCCAGAATACATACCAATTGACCAATTTTGATGAAACTTGGTTTCTGGTGCCTATGAATGTTAACTTAAATAATGATAGCATTTTTGTAATTTTAGCGACACTAGAAGGCGCTCAAGGCACCTATTTATCATTTAATCCAATATAATAATTAAAATCATTTGAATATTTGTGTGAAAATTTGTGAAATATTTATTTGCGTTTATTTCAAGTTTTAAACTAATATAAGACTAAATAATAGCGCAAAGAATTGAACGCTATATTCTGTGGCAAACTTGCATTCATTGTATTCATCCAAGTCTTCGCCATTAAATTTTAAGCCCCGGATCACAATTGATATCAAATTAATAAGTTGTTGTCATTTCATTCATTGTTTTTTGTCAATCTTTTACACTTGGATTTTAATCTCACAGATAATGTTTGAAATTATATTTGAGACAAAAGTTACTGTTTTGAGGTTTTAGTTTAAAACAGTTTTCAAATTCAATTCTACTGTAATTTGTGTTCAATTTGTTTGCAGTTTTGAAAATTGCAATTAAAGTATCGAAACAATTATATAACGCGATGTTTTCAATATTTCAAATATTCAAATGTAATCAATTTATTAATCAATTAGTTTACAAATTATGTATGTTTAATAATCAATTCAAACACATTATTATTTAAACTGAAAACTAGTTTAAAATATTTAAACCAATTCAAGCTATTTGTATAGTATTTAAATCCTAATTTGGGTGTCAAAAAACATGAACAACTTTATGGTCACATCAATGCTAATTACATGTGTTTGGTTTGGGTTTGCAGTTATGGTAATATTATCACCAAATTTTGTCATAAAGACAACCATTTATTAATGTTTAAATGCAACCCATATTTCATTATAGAATCCATTCTGTAATCCAAACCAATGGAGAATCGATTCTGTGGTAGTGTTTAACTCTACAAACAAAGCGATTACTTCTCAGACAATCGTATACTTTATAGACAATAACGTTGTCTTCGGAGTACACAACAGTTCCCATAGCTATCACTTCAGTCATATCAATGATGTCTTCAAAGGCGATCCAATCGACACACCCGTAGACGTCGTCTATGCGAACGGCACAGACATTATTGAAGTCATTAAACTTAAAGTTTGTTTTTATTGCCAGACATTTACCAATTATTTACATAAATATCTTATTTCTCGCCTAATCTCTAGAAACGGACCCAAACTTACACCAAATGGCGAATCGATTTCATTAAAAGGCAGGTCTTAGGGGTACAGAGTTTACCACAACTCATGAGAAAAGTGTTCACAACAAATATCATCGCTGTTATGGACGTCAATACGACTCACGCAACGGTTGTGTCCAATAGTGGTTACGTCACTGTCTATACAGTGGATCTAATGACAGGTCAGACAAGCGATCACTTGGATCTGGTAAAAGATGGCAAACAAGTAATGTTAGGAAAAGCATCTGTCAATTGGTCACATGTTTCACAACTCTATGTCTACGAAATATCAGCCGCTTATCGGGAAAAGAATAACATCTATACGTTTGTCGCCAATCGGTATGAATTGAGAGCCGAAGTGAACAAATGGACAGAATATCGCATCGAAACTAATCCCTTGAGTGTAAAGTCCTGTCAGCGGCCAAACCCGCGGACACAACAATACCAGAGAACAGGTGACAGCGAAACAAGTGATCAATTTGAACGGTCTAATGGCCGACACGTGCGGACACGCGAGGAATTGAACGAAGATTGGTGGAAGAGGAAGAATGAAGAGTTTGATCGTGATAACAGAAATTTCATGATAATATTTTTTTCATTAGTGGCACTTATTCTCGGCTGTGTTTGTTGTTGTGTGGTTTGGACATGCATTCATGGTATCGCCCAACCGATACGGCACCGACCCTATGGCCGAAATCAAATGCTTTTAGGCGCGATGTTAATGCAGTCAAACGTCGGACGCCATCCAAATGATGTTCAGTGGGTGACCGACGGCAGCCCTCAGACAAGTGTCGGCTCCGCACCGCCGGTGACGGGCTATAGACGGGTCGCTCAATAGTCAAGAAGCGAGAGAATTGTTACCAATAGATGACCAATAATTGAAATATGTCATACAATTAAATTCAAACACAAATTTTAATTTATTGTTATCATTTGTAAATTATATGATTTCGTAAACAAATTCTCAATTAAAACTTATGTCAAAATTAATTGTTTTTATTTAAATTTATTTATATCTTATGTATTGTCATAAAACACTTTACACAATAAATTACATCAAATACATCTCTTCATCTCTTCGAGATTGAATTCTTCATCGATTGTACGAATCGGGAAACGGGTCGACAGTTTGGCCACTGTTTCCTTCATTCCGGGATATATTTCCGTCCGGTGTTTGCGATTCACATTCATTAAGCAATTGATATACTTCTTGGACTCATCTCTCAAGACATACGTGTCTTGTATTTGATGACTGACTTTGCGATCGGCGTTCAGACCATTCGTACGCCAACCTTCCGGTGTTTGCGATTCACATTCATTAAGCAATTGATATACTTCTTGGACTCATCTCTCAAGACATACGTGTCTTGTATTTGATGACTGACTTTGCGATCGGCGTTCAGACCATTCGTACGCCAACCCCAATACGCCCGGCCGTAGTGTTTGTGAAACACTCGCTGCCATTCAGGGCTCAGAGACCGGACTCTATCCATAACTTCCTCCCAACGCCTCCTTTTAAGTCTACTGTAAGTCCAATGCATGGCAGCGATCGGTCGCATCGCCGCCAACTGGTCATCACTTAAGCCGACCGTCGGTTCAAACCCTTTGACCGTTTCTAACGATATGTTAAGCTTTGGTTTCGATGCAAACAATTGTTGGAAAAACTGTTTGATTACATGTTTTATATGAGTTGTTGCCCTCTTTTGAATAGATTTTGTCATTTGTTTCTCAAATCTCTTTCTTTTAATTAATTCATTTTTCCGTTCATTTCGTCGTTTCACTGAATTTATGGCCAAATCTCTGCAAATGTGTCGGTTTTGGTCAGCGATCTCTTTCACCGATCGCTTCCCATTTGGTGTCAAATGTGATATCAATTTTGCATTCATATCCACTAAACCCCAGATGTCTTCGTATGAATTAAAACTCATGATTTCTTTTGCCCACAATTTTGTGTGTTTTATAAATTGATGATTAATTTTAAATATATAAATATTTGTATTATTTTATTACCTCTCGTGAATGATTGTGTGATTTAATTACACAATAATAGTATTTATATTTTTAATTAATTAATGTGTTTTTTATTATGCAATTATTTTTAAATATTAACAAATTTAATGATAAAAGTTTTGACTTGTAATAGAATTGTCAATTTTTGCTCTACCTCCGTGAAACATATTCTACCCATACATTAGACATAGTTTTACTAATTTGAATAAAATAATATATAAAATTAATCACACATCATGGTTAGTTTTGGCACTTAATAGACTTGGTGCAATTTTGTTCTAATTGTTAATTGAATTTTTGTCTACATTTTGGCTGTCATTACACTTATTGAGTCCTTTGGTGATTGTATTTAAAATTCTCTGTTAATGCAAACATAATATACAAATCTATTAAACAATATTTAAAACCCTGTATTCAATGTATAAATGTTTAAATGAATAAAGTATTTAACGTTATATAAATTATTTTTTAAAACAACGGCATTAATGTATATAAGATTAATTAGTCTTAATAATGACTTATTGAGATAAATTAAATTCAATTTTATGTTGTGTTATGTACTAAATAATAGTAATTAGTAATTACATGCACAATCGTAAGTTATTTGGTTGAATCCTAAGCAACATCAAAATAACATTTACTTAAAATTTACATTAAAACTTTTTAGATTAAAATTTAACTATTCAACAGTCTGTTTTTTAGGCAATTTAATGAATTTGATTAATGTAAAACAAATATTAATCAATAATTCATAGCTTGAATTGAATTGAATGCATAAAATTCATAAATGTATTTCTCTATTACTAACGCCTCGTTTACTGTATATCAGGATTTACTGTATAACACACCAACACATCTAATGGGTTGTCTGCCTCTCAATCGCCACCCTCTGCTCCCATCACGGGCTGGTC